TTTTTGATTTATTGTAGAGATGAGGTCTCGCTGCCCAGGCGGGTCTCAAACTCGCGGGCTTAAGCAATCCACTCACCTCAGCCTCCCAAAGGCGCGGGATTACAGGCTGAGCCACCAAGCCCGGCTTTCTTTCCTTTTAATATTAAAAACTCTTTAAATAATAATTATAAGCACATATATGATATGTAGTCTAAATATAAAATGTATTTTTAAAGTTTTAGAAGAACTCTTTAAATAATAATTATAAGCACACATATGACATGCATTCTAAATATTTTATATTTAAGTTAGCAGAAAGTTAATTTCCCTGTCACTGCCTGCTCATTTCCTGTTATAAAACAGGTTGTATATATGAGTAAATTTGTCAACCAAGTAGGAATGTATTCACATAAAATACTAGTAGGCCTCCATGGACACAAATATACCTTTACAAGAAGCTCAAGTCTCACCATTTTGCTCACTATAACAACAGCATATGTCTCATTTAGTGATCAGTGGAATAGATAGGTGGAATTTTACTGTGATAAGCCATTTGGGAATGCTTGACAGCTGTGCAGGAAAAAGCTTCACAAATCTTTGTGAGAAGACTGTCCCAGAGGAAGAGCAATTGTGTTTGGAATTTTTCTTTGTGCCATTTGTTTCAAATACATATTATCTGTAGTATAATCACTGATATATGAAGAAGGAAGCAGCATACTAAAATTAATTATTTCACACTTAATGAGTTCTTTTCTAACAAAATAATTAGCCTCACAGAACAAAGAAATTCTCTTTGGCTGCAAACCTATAGATTACAGAGGCCAGGTACTAAAAGACCATAAGACTCTTCAAATGCTTACATTACACTGTTATGTACTGAAGTAATAAGGTAATAATGGTATGGTAATAAGGAAACTTTAAGAGGTGCATTGACTTGCAATAGTCATTAGGGAACAAATGAGATCTATGTAGTAAACCAAAAGGTGGCTAAAGACAATGAATGTGCCTCTTGAAGGATCTAATCTCAGAAAGTAACTGAAACAATACGGTAATACGGTTCATGAAACACTAACATTTATGAGAGCCCCCAGTTAGATGCCCTCTCTGTACAGAAGAAAGCAAGACAATCAGGCTAGATCAGATCAAAAGAGAAACAAACTCAGTATTATATAGCTGCCATTCTGACATCACTTTGTTATCCGTGAATTAACAGCATCTTCTGTTCTAGATGAAGGTAACAGTTTTTTAAAATAGGTCATATACAACAAGTAATAGACAAAATTCAAAGTCAAGCTTTTTGACATTTTAAACTTCAATAAAGTAATAGTATTAGACCACCCTCTAGTGGAATTCAGGAGAATTCAGTATATTCTTTTTTCACACACATTTTCCTAGTTTTATGACAAAATGCACACTGTGGGTTTTTTTTACAGAATCAAAATGTATAGAATCTGGATGAAAATATTTCACTGTATTCTTACACACTATCTTCAATATACAGAATATTAATCTCACGACATTTCATGCCGTGGTTTTGCATTCTAAACAGTTATGTGACACAAGCTAAATTGCATCATGTCCATCCAATCCCCTATGTCGCAGAACAATGGTTTTGCAAATTTGCAAAGGCTGGAGAGATGCCCACTAGAATACCAGCATCTTGGTGGCACATCCCTAGCCTTGTTCACTGCTGAATGCCCAAGGCCCCAAAACAGTGTCTGGTGCATGGCAGATGCCCAACATGTACCAGGCACTGTTATATTCATTGAATTCTCCAGTTCCTCACACCCTCATTGTGCACAGGAGGTAACAAACGCTTGGCACAGATAAGAAAGTTGCACAGGTCTCACAGGAAGTTGCGAAACCGGGATCCAAACCCAGATCTGAGAGTTCCCAGCACATCTTTACCATTTCTTTTTAAGATGACAAGCCTTCTCGGGAAGGCTCAAGTGAACCTCCCACCTCAGCCTCCCGAGTAGCTGGGACTGCAGGAGTACGACACTACGCTCAGCACAAGTACCATTGTTCAACTAGTTGTCTGTTATCTCTTATTAGTTTGAGAAGAAAAAAAATATTACTAGACATGAAGCTTTAACAGACCTATATTTTAAAAGCTACAATTTCTGGATCACCTCCATCAGTTAGGACAAAGTCATCTAATCCCTTTTATTTTCTACATTTATACTTTTGAAGAGACCTAATGTCACAAAGACAGCGCTGAGTCACTTTAAGAATCAACAAAATTATAATTATGTGTCCTGAGCTGATCTGAGGTAGAATCAGTAAGTGGTATATTTTAGGAACAATTTTTACATTTTAAATCATTTTCTGTCTAATCCTCAATTAATTAGAAATCACGATTTTCCAAAAAATCCTGTTAATCAAGAATTCAGTGTATTCTTAAAAAGCTTTAAAGTTATGCTAAATCCAGTCCAAAGTGCTTTCATTCTAAAAATAATGTACAGATACAAACATGAGACTTACTCAGATTTGCTGTCATGGATTCCAAATCTGCTACTAAGGCTGGGAGCTGCTGGAGCTGCTCCTGTAGCTCGATGAGGCTTGTCTTCTTCTTCTCCCAGTGAGTGGAAAGCATTATTACCTCGCTGTCCACCAGCTGCAGCATACAGGAGGAGGCGTAAAAAGAAACCATATTTTAGGCACAAAGAAAGTATAGTTAACATAATGAGATTTAATGTTCTCTTTAACAATCCCTCCACTGAGTGCAGATGACAGAACATTCTCAAGGAGATTGAGTTGTTGTTGTTGTTGTTTTTTTTTTTTAGAAAAGAACCAACTTAATATTCAGTGCAGGAAACCTCAAATTACAGCTTCTATCAGTGCATCTTAGCCCAGAGAGGAGAAAGTTCAAAAATGACCTTAGAAATCACTTCTAAGTATACCCTGTTTTCAAGTAAACCATGTATTTGAAAATCCAAATCTAGAAACAAATAAAACAAAAAACTAGCCCTAACAACCAAAAAGAAAATAAACAAAAAAACAAACCCAAAACATAATTCACGGGTAATTATTTCTTTACAAAAGGAACTCTTTTAACAGAAAAGTTCCCGAATGCATTTAGAATATACCAGGATTCAATGTATATTTAAATAGGAACACTTACTGCATAAAGTAAGGTAAATGGTACTTGCATATGAAGGAATATTCAGGAAACTGATCAATCCCAGAAAAAGAAGAGAGAGTATAAGATAATAAGGAAGAAATTCAGCAAATGTAAAGGGATCCTAATAGTAAGGTTGCAAGATTCTAGACTAGCCTAAGATAATTCTAACTTCCTTCCTAAAGACTATAAAGAAAATGATATACATCAGTTTCTCCCAGACAACTTTTTTTGGTCTTAGTGGGAGAGAAAAAGTCCTAAAATAAGATTTAAAAGGACCAAGGGAAGAAGTTCAGCCTTTGAAAACATCACCATCAATAAACAAGAATTGTGAAAAATACCCATACTCTGCATTATAAAAACAAGGGTGACAAAATTCATTATATAACAGAAGATGCATTTGAATTTTATATGTAAAATCACTGAGTTCACAGATAAATTGTTAAAAAAATAAAATTTACACATCCCAAGATTAAGGTTCTTCAGGTTAGAATCTGAATACAATTGATTCTTACTAAATCCCACCAAAATAAGATAGAACTTTAGAAGAATGAATATGTCAAAGTAAGATACACAATTACTTGTATGTGGCACTAGATTGGTTTTTTTCTCTACATTTTAATATAGTAGAAATTCACATTTGAAATAAAGGAACTAAGCTACACTACATCTCCCTATTGCTTTCAGCCCACACTAAAGAAATAATCACATCATCTCTCAGGTCAAGCCTCAGCTGAGCTGGGGAGGTGATATCAAAACTTAAACAAACTGCATTTCTCATTAATTTTGTGTACTTAAAAATGTCTATTGCCAACTGGTCTTTGTAAAGATCTCTAGAAGTAGCTTAAAAATACTGAACAGTGCCAACGTAATAGCTATAATGCAACAAGGAAACCAAAGTTTGAAATAAGATTCTACGTTCATAAAATTCATTCATAATATTTAACAAACTTCTACTGACCACCCACTATTTGCTAAGCACTATTTTGAACACTGAAGCTGTAATGGCAAACAAAGCAGAAAAGAAAATCCTGCTCTCTTGGTATTTATATTTTGGTGGTAGGTCTTTTAAATTCTCTTAGCTTCAGATTTTAAACTCTAAAAAAGAAAAAAAAATTCTTATAAAACTGGACTATCTTGGTTAGTAATTTGAAAAATCGAGAACAACTTTTAGATAGTAGCCATTGTTTACTGAAAATTAAAGTATAACATTTAAATATTAAAATTTGGCCAGGCTCCGTGGCTCAGACTGTAATCCCAGTACTTTGGAAGGCCAAGGTTAGTGGATTGCCTGAGCCCACAGGTTCAAGACCAGCCCAGGCAACTTGGCAAGACCTCATCTCTACAATAAATAAATAAATAAAAATTAGCCGGGCATGGTAGTGCACGCCTGTAGTTCCAGCTACTTGAAGGCTGAGGCAGAAGGATCGCTGCAGCCCAGCAGGTCGACGCTGGGATGGCCATGAGCATGCCACTCCACTACAGCCTAGACAACAGAGTGAGACTCCAACTCAACAAAAATAAATGATAAATATTAAAATTTCACTACTGTTTAGTTCACACCTTCAGCAAAATTGCAATTATATTCAGAATAAAGAATATAAGCTTATGTAAGAAGAATATCAGAGAGCACTAAAATATCATGGAAGGTTAATGGATTCTCAGAAATCATTATCAATAATTATACAAGAATACTAAAACATTTTGAACATTTTCTATGTACCAGGCCCTGAGCTAAGCAATTTACACATACTACCTAATCCAAACCATGCAGCAACTGTAAACCAAGCAATATTACTATCTCCATTTTACAGATAAAAAAAACAACTGAGGCATAATGAAGTTAAGTTGCTACTCCAAGGACCCCAGCGAACCTAGATTCCATCCCAGGGAATTTGACAAGTCTATGCCCTTAATCAACATACTAGGGATTGTGTTATAAGGGTATATGACAGAAGGAAGAAAAGTGAAAATCTAGCAAAAGAAAGGGTTCTAAAAAACTACACTGTTACCTATTAATTTTATCATATGTAGTTTTTTACTTAATGATAAAAAAAATAAGCTCTCTCCAGAAGTCCAATTTTTTTCCACCTCTAAGTAAATAATGAATAAACCCAGATTTGCCACCAGGAAATCAAGTTTGAAGAGCAAGATAAACCCACAGTGCTTCATTCCAAAATTCCTTCTGGTTGACACTGAGGTTAGGAGAAGAAAGAAAAAGCAGGAAATGCCAATGGTTTCCAAAATGGATAATAATAGGATCTTACTTAGTATAAAACTTAACAATTCAGTTATGAGGGACACATCATTTTATTTTGTTTCCAAACAACTTTGATAAGTAGAATAAGTGGTGATAAACCATTTTACAGATTAGGAAACTCAGAGAGACCAAGTTATTTGCCCAAGATCAGGAGGTATTAGTGCCACGAGAAGTAGAAACCAGGTTTGTCAACACCCAGTTCAGTTCACTTTCCACTATAGGCAAAGGAAATCCACCCTGAACACAAAGAGTACAACAGTCCAATCCAACTGGCTCAATACCAAACTGTTAAACAAAACCATGAACCTTGGGAGTTCAATTTGAAGACAAGCCAATATTTCACAATAATAGGAAAGACAGGCAGAACAGTGGAAATCTAACTTTGGAAAACTGTCCTCAGCATTTAAACCTCTAAGTCACTACGTATCAACTATTCATGGTACTCATTTATACATTGTTAAGGAAGGAAAAACAATTGAAAGCCCTATTAAGAAAAAGAGTGCCACAAAGTTACCACTGAACATAGCTAATTTTTAAAAATAAGTTATTGCTCAGAATTCTAAGACTATATGCTAAGAATGAGCTTTAGGACAGATGAGTATAAAATAATTTGTTAAACAAGAACAAATTGACCTTATTTGCCCCAGGAAGTTATGCTGTTTGGTTAAAAGCCACCAAAGACACATGAGCAGGTCTGACAAAATAAACACATGATAAGTTTAATTCTATGCATATTAAGGACATACATTTAAATATTTAATGTTTCAACAATATATCACAGAAGATGTTAAAATGAATTTTCATTTTAAAAGCTGGCTACTATACTTTGGGAAAGCAACAGAGGTACTTTTGATCAGATATGGGTTTGAAAATAACCAAGTGCTCAACTATACAAAAATTTAAGATTCCAAAATAGCATAAATCCAATAACAGATCTTATAGGAAATTCTTTCTCCTATAAGTATTATTATCAAATGCTTTTTAGAATGAAAATAATGACGTCTGTCAAAGCTCCTCTATAGAACACAGTCTTCATTTAACATTATGGGATTCATCCACGTTGATACATGTAGGTGTAGTGGTTCACTAATTTTCACTGCTGTATGGCATTTGATTTTACAACTAATACCATACTTTTTCCTCCAGATGGACTCTGGGACTGTCTAAAGATTAAACAAAGCTTGCTACAAACATTCTGGTACAAATCTCCTGGTAGAAGAGTTTCATAAATGAATTACAGATGTCTAAGATATCCATCTCTTCACCTCCCAGGACCTGGCCTAACTAGACCCCTCCTTGTCCCCTGCAGCCTAGATGTAATGCTCTGGAAAAATCCCTGGGACCAGAACTGTGCTTAAAAGTTGTGTGCAACTTCAACTTTATGCCAACTCATTTCTTCTCATGTGATTGTTCCAATCAATTTATATTCTTAAGTTCTATTTGTTTCTCATCACATTTCTTCCAAGGAAAGAAATAAAACTATCATCTGCAAATAATGACCAGAGTCTGCAGAGAAAATCAAAAGCTCTTAAATTTTTGATGATCTACTGAGTGGAAATTTGGGGTTTCAATTTGCATTTCCTTGATTAGTAAGCAAGGTTGAACATGTTTTCATGTTTATTGACTATTCATGATTACTTTTCTGTAAAATGTCTGGTGACATCTTTTGCTCACTTTTCTACTGGGCTACTTTAGTCCTCTTTTTATTTGTTTGTAGGGTTGTTCATATTTTCTGAATACTTGTCCTCTGTCTTGGGACTTGCTTGATTTTTCGTAGAGTTGTTTGAGTTTTACCACAAATTATCAACATTTTTATTTATGGTTGGTGCTTCTTATGCTTTATTTAAGAAATCATTCCCACTATAAGGTCTTAAACATATTCTCTTCTACTATTTTCTTTAAAATATAACATGTAAAAAATTTTCCTTTTTACATTTAAGTCTGATGAAGCCAAAATTTGAGTCAAGATCTTTAATTACTTTTATTCAACATCTTACTGGAGATTCTACACAACATAAGAAAGACATGAAGAAATAAAAGTTATATGAATTGGAAGGGAAGAAACAAACCTATCATCTACACAAGACAAGCTATAAGAGGATTTAGGAGGATGGCTAAACATGGGGTCAAAATACCGCAAATCAAATGCAGCACGTTTTGTAGATATTAGGACAAAGAAGCTGCTTTCTACTAAAAATTTGCTAAAACTTTTTATCCTGAATAGGTATTTAATTTT